TCAAAAAAAAGTATATGCAAATAAACACAAAATAATTATAATTAAGTTCCATAACCAGAAATAAAAATAAAAATTAAATAAAATCATTTTCAAAACTGAATATACAAAACAATAATAGAAAAGTTCATTGTCCATAATCCGCTCTGGAAACAGAGAGAGAAAAATAAAAAACAGCTGGTATCCCTATAAAACATAGTCGCAAATTACTAAATATAGAATTTCTATTTAATGAATTAGATTGTTTCTCCAACAAGAATAAAAAAAAAACAACAGAAAGAACATTTTCCCCCATTCATAACAGAGTGGAGGTTATTGAGAAAAAATATATATATCTATATTTTGATACTGACAAATTATTGTTGATAAATTCCAACAAGAATACAATGATTTTCCTTGACTGTAAACAGCCAGTTAATTTTTGTTCTTCAAATATTTATTATTGTTTACAATAAGTTTTCTTTGAAACAGAGAGATAAAAAAAAAAATATATATTATTCATAATATTACCAAAGTTTACAGAGCTGAGTGGCAAATAAAACATAGAATTTTGCTTTAATAATAAATTAATTCTTTTACTACAAAACAAAAATCAAACAGAAATCAATAGAGCGGAATAGTATAAGCAAATTAGATCTATTTTTATGATACTGACAAATTAAACTTTGTTGATGAATGACGAATTCTATAATAAGAATAGGGTATAGTTTTCATCTCTGGATCGCAAATATTTATCATTGTTTATGATTAGTTTATACCTACATATTTTCCCCCTTATAATTAAATAACATTATTTAGAAATAGAGAAAAAAAAAAAAAAAAACAAAACAAAACTTACTGAGGATCATACAATTATGGATTGAAATCACTTTCTTACATTGTTCAGTTCATTTTCATTGTTTATGCGACAGACACCATTACGACCCTTCACATAGATCGCTCCATTGAGGCACCACGCATTTTTGAACGAAAATTTGTTTACTGCCGCCGTCAACAACGATAACCGTTTTTTCGTTAAATCCTCCTTAATTTGTATATTGCTTGATATAAGCATTTTGCGGGATTTGAGCACATCCTTGCGTTCAGCGTCACTAAAGAATGTAACAAGGACAGCTGGTGGCTTATCGTTTGGATTTTTTGCATGGATGCGATGGCACTTTTTTAAGTGCGTATCTTTAATATTTAATTTTAGCTGCTTATTGAATAAATTCAATATTTTTCCACGCAAATTCTCGCCTTCATCAACTGAAATGCCGAATATACGAAGATTTAGACTGCGGGATGACTGTTCCTGCCTTTCCATTTCTTCGGTCAATTTCAAATTGGTCCCCTTGAGCTCTTGTACTTCTCTATCCAACCGCTCGATGCATTCAGCTTGCTTTTGAATCTTCTCCCTGAATTTTTCTTCAACGATAGATGCTACTTTTTCTGCGAGAACAATTAGAAATTGATCATTGAAGATACCTTTGATTTTTTCAATGTCCCCCGACGTCAAACCCATGTTTGCTAGATAGGTTAGAAGTACACAGGCCGAAAAATAGTAGGAAACTTGCACTAGAAAACCGCAAAACACCTTCAAGGGGCACTATCACGATACTAGCATAGGTCGTTCACAAAAACTTAAATTATTTGCAGGCTTATTTATTATTTATTTAGAAAAATTACAGCAGACACTCGATACGCGTGCTAACCACTCGACGCCATCTTAATGATCTTATCTAGTTATCTTATCTTAGTTACTTTTCCAAAGGATCTGTAACTTGTATCTTAAAGAAGTATCTTGGATACCAAAAAGTATCTCAGATACTTAGAAGTAGGTAGATACTGAAAAGTCTAATATAAGTTAACGAAAAGTATTAGTTACCGTGAAAAAAGTTTCTTGAGACGTTTACCCAAAAAAATAGGTAAAACTGGTTCAAACTTCAAACAACATCAAGCTTACGTTTTATGTATTATTCATTTGTACTCGCCCAGTCGCTCTGTGAAGTTTGTGTACGTCACTGATTTAACAAAAGAGTTGATTGACGATTTTTTACTTCAATAGTTCACGTCGCGATTTATCCATTATATTCTATAAAAAGTAACTTTGATTTGTGATTGTAACTGTGATAATTTTCTATGTCCTGCGATTTTGAACCTCATTCTCGGATTTGGGATTTTTAAACTATAAAAATTCTAGTTTTTTAAATTGAATCCGAAACCTGTGGACCAAATAAACCGAACAGCAAAGTTTTTGAAAGTAATAATAAATTATCTTAATAATGGCCGTTTCCACCAACTATTTTAGGAGAGCCCTAACGATAAGTATTCCTTAAACTGACATTTCTCCATGTAAAAATGTCATTTCAGAGAATACTTATCGTTAAGGCTCCCCTAAAATAGTTGGTGGAAACGGCGATAAGTATCTTATTAAATATCTTAAAAAGTAACTTAAGATGAGTAACTAAATACCCAAAGTAACTTCAGATACTTTTTCCAAAAGTAACTTATCTTTTTAAAAGTACCTTTGACAGCTCTGTTCATTGACTTCCGCTCCAATTATTCTGAGACAGGCTGACGACAACTGCTACAAGTTTGTATCACAGCTCCGTTGTGCACGTATCCTTACCCATTATTATCTGGGGGGGTTTATTTGAAATTGATGCAACTTTGCGTAGACGCAAATAACGTCATTTGCGATTGACAATTGGTGCACGGCTTATTTGAAATGCACTGCGAGCGATATGACATTGCACCACTCGCAACTTTTGCGCATGGGAGTTGGGAGTATATCGATCGCAAGTCTACTTACGCACACGCAAGTTATGTCGTAAATTTGTCAATTTATTTTAATTTTGATAGTTCATTCAAATGGGTTCGAATATGGTGGTGATTTTTATAAATATGAATTTCAATAACGTTATTATTATTACCAATGTGCTGGCTCGTCTTGAATTAGCGAAGTCTTTCAACGAAAACCTCGCAGCATGGCCGCGATTTTATGCCTTTGTCCTAAGTGACCGGGCTTTCGTGAAAAAATTTCGGCTAAATAAAGCTACTTTTGAAGACTTCTATGATGCTATAGAGGGCTATTTGGTGTCACCAAGAAGAGCATCTGCCATCGGGTACTGTATTTAATACCGCTGAGGCTTCTTGCCACATATTTTTACTTGAGTCTTTGGTAAAGGTTGGGGCGTTCTCTGACAAACTTGACAAGAAACCTTTTTTCCTCCGCATCTGCGTTTGCGGAGCTCTTTTTTCTATCTACAGGAATAGGGTTTGGTGAAATAATATTAATTTTTTGTGGTAAATTGCTTATAAACACGAAACATATTTAGAAAATTCTAACCTCAAAACATCAAAAAAATCAAAATAAATAAATGTCATCGTAAAATATACGTCACCGTCAGCCAAAATATCGTAAAATTCAAAAATCCACTCATTTTTATATGGTAGATTTTCAACATTTTGTGAAAAGAAAACTGGCAACGCAGCGAGCGAGTGCATCTTTTGCGTGCACGCAAGTAGAGATACACACGTCCAATGTCAGTTTCAAATAAAGCTATTCGCATGTAACAAGTTGCGTATACGAACAAATTGATGCAACTTTGCGTGTACACTCCGTGTTAGCCTCCCCATCTTTCTTGATTTTGAATTTAAAAAAAAAAAAAACATCGGATAGAGGAAAGAGCCTGGAATAATAGTTATTTTTGTATCAAGGGCGCGAAATGCTACTTTCGTGATCGAGATCTGATTTTTTTAACGAGGCGCAGCCGAGTTAAAAAAATAGTCGAGCGTTAATAGGGAACGTTAAAAAATCAATACCTGGGAAAAAAAGTGTCACTTCGCAAACTGTCATGAGTGTGCGAACATCATCATTTTTTGACAGTTGTAGAAAAAGGGATTTATGAGAAATTTGGAATAAAAGAGATTGAAACGATGTAGATATTCAATGGGTTAAAAAGAAATAGAGATAAAGTAGGCAAAGATAGAAGGTGAAAGAACTATAGATTATGCTAACCGTCTCCTTAACATCCTTATCGTAGCTGAAAGCAATATCAATACGACGAAACGGGCAGCATTAGCATTAATTTGGGCTGTCAAACGTATTTGAGGTTACATAGATGGCGCTAATGTATTTGTAAAAAGTGATCATCAGTCATTGAATTGGCTATTATCTATTGATTCCTCGACAGGAAGATTAGCACCGTATTTCAATCATTTAACCTCAAAGTTGCTTATACCCCAGGCAAAGCCACCAATGACACATTGTCTAAATTAGCGTTCAACAACGGGCCCTCAGAAAATATTTTTAACATTACAGTAGACTTTTCACGATACTCTGCAGAAAAAAAAATGAAAAAATCAACTAGCAGACCAAGAAGTAGCAAAGATAATAAACAAACGATATTGAAGATCCCTCATCGTCCAGTCGCTGGATCGAAAGATATTGCCTTACCTATAGAAAGGGGTGTATCATATAGATATTCTCCAGAATGTGATTCAGAAGAGGCGCAATTAGTACTACCTCCCAGCAGATGAATGCAAGTAATTTAGAATATCACGACGGTGATACGGCTTTTCATGATGGTGTTGGACTTTGGCAAGAATTCGGAATAGATATTATTGCCCTGGTATATTCATAAATTTTTAACTGAATATATTATGCGATGCACAGTATGTCAACAGCTTATAAGCTTATAAGCTTATAAGACCACCAATTTAAAGTCCGCAAGATTGATGCAGACGCCAAAACAATCCTCCGATTTTGAGATAATTACAGTTGGTTATTTTGGAGCTTTACCTGAAACCGAACGAAGGAATCGATGGATAGTAATTGTAGAAAAGGCTTGTAATCAGTGACACATAACATAAAAACAAAGATAGATTTCATGAGTATACAAACGTTGATGACAATGAAGTACACTTGAATTGACTAGAAAAAAAAGAATATCCTGTTGACTAATCAATCAATTATTTAGTTGAAATGATAAATTATCATTACCATACTTGAAGATAAGACCAAATAAGTAGATACTCGAGTGGGTATATTTAGCAGTTGCTTGCACACAATCCGTATCGAATTTCTCTTACTTCCTAAGTGAATATCACTAAATTATAAAGATGCTTAGAACTAATATTTTTGTGTTTGTTTCAACAATGCTGGTTTTTGCGAAAACCTTACCAGCATTAAAAAATACTAATGGTCATGAGATTATTGATGGGAACTGCTCCAGTACTCCTTACGATGACAGGGTATACTATGACCATGTTGATAAAACCAGCTGGCCATTCATCATCAGATCTGAAACGGTAAGCCAATTCTTATGTGCATACACGCGTATTGTATTTTAATAGGTATCATATTTCATGGCAAGTTTGGCTATTCAATGTCAACGGGAAAAAGTTCCTTTAAAAATAAAAAGCAATTTCTCTTTATGTTGCAAATCACCTACCTGATATTATCACAATCGACTTCTTTCTACTCTAGCTTAGAGCATGAAGTATTTTCTAATACTCAGCTATAATTGCAGGTCACGTACTACGGCGACAGACAAATTTACTGCATACAAGCTCTAAACCAGAAAGTTAATGGGACTGGAGGATCAGCTAACATTACTGAAGGCGGCGTTGGACATAATTTCGTAGTTGTTGAACTAGAATCAAACAGAAGTCATGGACTGGAGTTTTACGTTTCCATATATGCAAAAAATAGTTCTATAAATGCCATAAAATCGCCCATGGCTCAGAATCTTTCTGAATTTGAATAAGTTATAATAGAATATTCTAATAAATACTACCACGCGTAAATGCAGTTTCATTATCGAGAATACAGTCTACTATTGGCTTACCATGTGTCTAATTTCGATTAGTAGAAAAAAATTAACTATCTCTGCTCCTTATCGATTGCATACATAACTGTATTCAATTTTGTGTCACTTCTAATCCATGTACTATCTGATAAGAGAAAGAGAACTAGCAAGATTGAAAGGCAAATTTACCCCGATGCTTCAAGAGAGATGAGCCAATAGCCATCTAAACTTGCTGGCATCTTTTACCCCAAAAGAATTTGAAATTCCATATTCTTTCGATAAGGAAAATGCTGTTTCTATCAGGGTATTAGGACTAAAATCAAATCCTAAATCTAACTTTTCCTGTCAAAATTCTAATAAACCATGGACAATGCACAACTCGTAATTTTTCTTTAATATTCGATTCCTCAGCTAAATGCCTTTTGAAAAAGCTTTCTATTTGAAATAAAGCATGGGACAAACCTGCAGATATAGATCTATTTTATCTCTGAGATCAATTTCAAAACGAACTCTCTTGCTTGTCCAACATTATATTTCCAGGATACATTATATTTCCAAGGGACATCACTCGATGTCAATTACACGTCTTAGTCTTAATCTCAGATGCATGAGAACTGGGTCAGGCAGCTTGCGTCTTTTTGATACGGAAACTACCTAATGAAGTTATCAAAACTTCGCTTATAACAGGCAAATTTTAAGCCCCTTAACAACCATTAGTTTAACTAGGTTAAAACTTCTAGGTGACGCTTTTCACAGTGATCTGCTGAGTTTTGTCATTAAGATACAAGAAATTTTCCTAACATCAAGTGGTATAACATGAAATTCCAATATAATCCCGCTATCGTAGCCCGTCAAGGTATCGTCCAGCTAATTTTGTAGATCATCGTCTATAATTAACAGGGCGATCCTATTAAAATTTACCCGCTGCTCTTGGGATTTCAGAAATTCGTCTAACTATTCAGGAAGAAAAAAAAATCAGTTTTTGAGAGACCATCGAGTGGAATTTTCACAGAATCATTTTATAACATTATTGTGAATTAGTAAATTCTTTATTTTAATATCAATATTACAATTTTCACTACATTTCCTTTAAGCAAATTCCATCATCTGTGTAGTTTAGTTCCTCGTTTCAATAGGTAGGTACTTTATAATTATATTGCATATTTAGGTCTCAAAGACGATGCCGCTAGAATTATTATACAACCAATGTCTTGTTCACATTAATTTCACTAAAAGATGTTTCCGTTTCTTATATAATTCTATTGCAGAACCCCCAATTATTGTAAATATAAATAAATACAATGTACTCTTGCCGCCAAAGACAGAGTACATATACCCTTCAGTTATTTTTATTATCCAGATGATGAGAATTATTGCCCTTAGCCCCTTAAGTTAATTTTAGTGTTTATGATTGTACAAACTTTCCAAATAGCATGTAATAAAACATTTTAGCACTTTAAAATCTGTATAGAGTTAGGTACTTCTTATCTTATAAGGGATAATTTGAAGAAGCCGCCCTCCGTCCCATGAAGCTGTTTTCTTGGGAAAAGAAAGATTGAAGACGAGACATTCTGAATCCGGGCTTCAGACCGAGAACACGAAGTAATCTTTTAAAACGCATCAAGTTTCCCTCTTGCTAAACAATTATATTTCTATTTTAGTAAACGAAACCTTATAATTAAATGATAGAGTTGACTAATTAATCTTAGTCGTAGAATAAAATTTCGGAACCATTTTCGGGATCATTCGCCATCCAATTTCGAATTCATTACATTGGTGGCAGCGGTAAAAGTCGCGGTGTTACTCGAAAGAGCGCGTAGACGCAGCGAGTGCATACAAAAAATATCGCGGAAGTTTTGTGTGTATCAAGGCGCGCTCAGACGCAGGATTTCCACAAAACGAATTCAGGAAGTTGGAGATATCTGAAGGTGCGCCCAGACGCAGCGGATCCGTCCAAGCAGTGAACAGGGAATTGAGAGGCGCGCGGAGACGCAATCAGCTACCTCATCGGAAACTTCAAAAAAATTCTTGCGCAACATGTGTGGGTAAGTCTTTTGTTTTCTGATGGTTTTTTGACGCTGCACATTTCCTACACCTACGCTTTATTTTTTATAGAAATTAGGTTAATTATTGATTAGGTACATATATTATTTTAAGAACAACTGCAAATAGCCAAATTTATTAAAAAAAAAAAAAAAAAAAAAAAATTCTTAATTATTATCATAAATTGAATAAAAAAAATAATAATAATAATAATAAAAAAATTACTTAAAATGGCTGAGGGGAAAACAGCTCTTGATGTTCTTAATTTTATTAATTCTTATGATGGTTGTGGCGATTCTAATTCACTACAATTCTTTATAAAAAATTGCGATGCAATGATGGCAATCGTCAGAGAAGAAGAGAAAATTATGCTTGCTACACTGATTTTTGGAACTAAATTAACCGGTAAAGCCCAGGAAGTTACACAACATAAAACATTTCAAAATTGGGACGCGATAAAAGAATTTTTGGTCGAACAATTTACTGATAAACGACCACCGACACATTTTCTTATGCAAATAATGAACATAAAGCAAAATTATAGGGAAAAAGTTAAAGATTATGGGGATAGATTGAAATATTTATACAATAAATATAAAGAAACATGCCATGCAAATTATTCAGATAATGGAGCAAAAATTTTAATAGATAACTTAGATTCAATTATAGTCAGTACATTTAGGAAAGGGTTATTTGATGAAAAAATACAGATTCGTGTAATAGCTGAAAGTAGTTACGATTTAGACAAAGTCATTTCAATAGCTGTCGAAATGGAATTAGAAAGTACGGAAAAAAACAAATATTCACAAGGAATAAACCAAATAGGATTTTTAAGGCAGAAAAGTAATTATCATGATAGAAATTCGCAAAACCACAACTTATTTTGCATGTTTTGTAATGTTAACACTCATTTAACGTCAGAATGTCGAAAACTAAAAAGCTATGAGCAAAGCCATACTAACAGAAACAGAGGTTGTAGCTATCAAAATCAACAATATAATAACATAGGAAGTAACAATGGAAATAATTCGAGATTTCACAATAATCATAATTTCAATCAATCTCAATCAACTAATTATGGAAATTTTAATAATTTTCGTCAATACAATAAAAGAAATCCTCGAAATCTTTTTACAAACAGAAACTATGGACAAACTTTTCAAAGTTATAACACTTATACTAACCCTAACACATAAATAAATAGCATGCCACCACAACAAATTCAAACAATTTCATCCCATTCAAATTCTTCTCAATCAAATTTTTTCCAACCAAATCGTTCAGATCAAATTCAGGCAGGCTCATCTTTTCATTCTTTTCAAGGAAGTAATCCGGGAAACGGGTTAGAAGCTTCCCTTGCAAACAGCCAAGCGAACGCTTCAATCTAGATACATGCTGTTCCAAATTAGTAGAAAATCATAATTGTCTAATAAGCCAAAATAGTACTAACATTAACAGCAGCTCAACTCAGGTCGCAGAGCAACTGCAACCTCCTGCTTATATTAGAAATAATACCTGTACTAGTAGTAATAGCAAAAACGCTTTAGCAAATAAAACTCCAGACAAATCAATTTTTCTTTCGAACGGTCAAAGGCAATTAGATATAATTAAGATCAACGCCGATAATGTAAAAAACTCAGAAATTCAACTCTTTATTTAAAGAATCCTCACTAATAAGTAACGCTAATTTAGATAAAAATAATATAATTGAATTAAAGGGCATTACGGAACAATCTATTTATACCTTAGGCGTTCTTCTTGTTAAAATAAATTTAAAAAATAATAAAACCTTAGAGCATCCTTTTCATATTATTCCTCAAAGTATTCCAATTAAACACAATGGTCTCTTGGGACGAGACTTTCTTTCAAAGTATGAAGTAAAAATAAATTACGAGGATGGAACTCCCAGTTTTGAAAACAATGATTTTGAAATTCTGTCATTGGAAACAATCACTATTCCTGCTAGATGCGAAATGGTAATTCCTGCGCTAACAAATACCAGTAATGTGGAAGGAATTGTAACTTCTAAGCAATTGTCTAACTGTCTTTATTTAGGGTCGTCAGTAACAAAAGTACGCGATAGTAGATGCTCAGTTAGTATTTTAAATATTTCTGAATACCCTGTGACTATCGCTTTACCAAAGGTTAATATAGAGCCAATAAATAATAACGAATTTCATATTTTCAACTTAAGTCTCAAAAGCACAGAAAATAACATAAATCACATGCGTCGTTTGCAAAATCTCTTACAAGACATTAATTTAAAAGGACTTAACGATGAGGAAAAAAATTCGCTAATAAAAATTTGCAGTGATTTTAGTGATATTTTTCACCTAGCAGGTGACAAACCCACCTATACAAATACACTATATAGTACATAAAATACCAACGGATTCCATTAAGGGACCTATTAACATTAAACCATATAGATTACCTTTTAAACATAGAGAAATTATAAGTAACAAAACTGAACAAATGTTAGAAGATGGGATAATTTCACCCTCAACTAGTCCTTGGAATAGTCCCTTATTAGTAGTTCCCAAAAAAGCTGACCATACGGGAGTTCCTAATTTTAGAATAGTAGTAGATTTTAGAAAAATTAATGAAATATCTACAGGAGGTTACACATTTCCGTTACCTAATATCGTAGACATTTTGGACCAATTGGGTAACTCACACTATTTTACAACTTTAGACTTAGCCGACGGGTTTCATCAAGTTCCAATGGATGAGCATGATAAAGATAAGACTGCGTTTAGTACATCCACTGGACACTACGTTTATAATAGAATGCCATTCGGGCTTAAGGGAGCACCCGCCACGTTTCAAAGACTTATGAATGCAGTTCTAAGTGGTCTTAATGGTTTAAAATGTTTTATCTATTTGGACGACATAGTAATTTATGGAAATAATTTAAATCAGCATAATGAACGGTTAATTGAAGTATTTCAGAA